GGGGGATGGGTGAAGAGGTGAGAGTATTAAGAAGTACAAATAGGTAGTTACAGAATAACCATGGGGATGTACAGTACAGTATAGGGAATGGAGTAGCCAAAGAACCTATATACATGACCCATGGACACGAAAAAAGGTAGGGGGGTTGCCTGAGGAAGTGGAGGTTGCTGAGTGGAGGGGGACAAAGGGGGAAAAATTGGGACAACTGTAATAGTATAATCAATAAAATATAATTTTAAAAAAGCATAGGTGATCCTCCTATAATTAGTATTAGATGTAATATATGGAACTAGATTGACTTTCTCCTGTATTTCCTCTTGGCTCTTTCAACATGAGTCTCCCTCTAGAGGAGGTGAGTGGAATCACTCCCAAAGAATTCTCACCTGGGCAGGGTTGCCAGTCCATTTCTTCCTGCTTGGCTGCCACTAATACAGTCTCACAAAGGCATAGAGATGTAATGGACTTCTAGAGAGGCAGGGTGTAGAGAGATTACAACTGAGGGTTTGAAAATCTAGACTGCCCTGTTCAAAACCTGTCTTTGTCATTCACCAACACTGACCTTGAGCAAGTGATTCAACTGTTGTGTGCCTTGTTATCTTGTTTCTAAAGTGAAAGCATAACAGTGTATGTCACGTAGGGTACTGTGCTGATTAAATGATCTAATGATATGAGGTACAAAGAGCAATGCCTGGTACATAGTAAACTCTCTGTGTGCCCTGCTGCTTGGATAATATACAAGAGTCAGTGTGTACAGTGCCTGAGGGATTGTGACTACTTAGCAACATACCCCAAGTCATCAACTCCACAAATGTTTATTGAGGACCTACTATGTACCAATCACCCTGCTAGGTCTAGGAGGATACATTGGTGAACTGTTCTAATAGTTTACATTCTAAAGGAGAGAATCTGACAATAAACATTTAAACAAATGAATAAGATGATTTCAAGTAATGGGAGGTGTTATGGGTTGAATTGTGTTCCCCCAAGAGATGTTGAAGTCCTAACCCCAGTACCTGTGAATGCGACCTGATTTGCAAGTAGTGCCTTTGCAGGTGATCAGGTTAATGGAGTCGTTAGGGCGGGCCCTAACCCAGTATGACTGGTGTTATTACAGAAAGGAGCAATTTGGACACAAAGACAGCCATCAGCAGAGGGATGGCATGTGAAGAGACCCAGGGAGAAGACAGTTGTCTCCAAGCCAAAACACCTGAGGCTTCCGGGAGCTAACAGAGGCCTGCAACAAGTTCTTCCTTAGTGTCTTCCAAGGGAACATGGTCCAGCTGCTTTGATTTCAGACTTCCAGCCTCCAGAACTGTGAGATGATACCTTTACTTCTCTTGTACTAAGCCACCCAGCTTCTGGGATTTTGTTAAAGCAACGAACCAATATAGTAGGTATGATGAGGAAAGTAATAGAGGATGAGGATGATGTGATAGAGAATAAGTAGGGGCAAGGGTGCTGAAGCTACTTCAGCTGAGGGGTTCAGAAGGGCCTCTGTTACCTGGGAAGCCATTAAGGGTGATAGGCAGGGAAGACATGATCAGGCTGAACTCAAAAAAAAAATCATAATTGTACAGCTCAATGCATTCCCACAAGTGAATGCACCTACGTAACCAGCACTGAACTCTCCTGCCCCAAGCCCCCTTTCAGCAGCAAGAGTAGCCATGGCTGCTCACCACAGGGCTAAACAATATCCATATCCTCAATTCTAACACCATGTACTAGTTTTTGTCTGTTTTTGAACTTCATGTAAATGGAATCATGCAATATGGTCTCTTTTGTTTTTGGTTTCTTTTTCTCAATATTGTTTGTGAAATCCCTATCCATTCTCAGTACTATGCAGTATCCCATTGTATGAATATAATAAAATTTAGTTATCTATTCTACTCTTGAGACATCTAAGTAGTTTCCAGTTGAGGCTATTGTGATTAGTGTTGCTATGAACGTTCTTTCTCATGTTCTTGATGAACATACTTATGCATTTTTTTTTTGTTATTTCTGGAGCTGGGATCTGGGTCACAGATAGATAGATTCAGCTTTAGTAGATACTGCCATAACTATGGTTGACATATTAAAAGATAATTTGGGTGTGAGTAAAGAAGAGAATGTGGTGGCAGCAAGAGTGAAAATGGAGACCAGATAGTCATTTTAACAGTCCTGACAAAGGACGACGGTGGCTTTGACTAGGGTAACAAGTGAGGAGACGAAAGAACGAACATACTCACACAGGGTTAAACAGGTAAAGCTGACAGGGCCTGAGATGGTTGGATGTGGGGAGATGAGGGAAAGGGGAATCAAGGTTGCTAGTTAGCTGTTTGGTTCAAAAACTAGGGGGACGGTTTTGTTGGTTACTGAAATGGAAATGAGCAGAAAAATAACAGGTGTGTGGGACAATCAAGAATCCTGGTTTGGCCATGTTAACTTTGAGATGCCAATTAGCTACCCAGCTAGTGATATCAAGTGGACAGCTGGAGCTCAGCTAGATGTCAGGACTCGAGAAATAAATGGAGGGCCATCAGCATATAGGTGTTGGGTACCATTGAAAGATTCAGGTAGATGGAGAGGCTGCCAACATGGAGGTCATTGGTAAGCTAGCAAGAATTCTCTCAGTGAGAACGTGGAATGGGAAATCCCAACTAGAGTGCACTGGAGTAAATGGGAGATGAGGAAGTAGAGTAAGAGACAATAATATCGCTCAAGAAGTCTTGCCATAAAGAAGAGCACAGAAATGGAAAGAACATGAGAGGAATCTGGGTACAAGGGAGGATTTTTCTCAAAGTGGGAGATATTTATCATGTTTGAAAGTGATACAGTAAAGAGATAAGTATAATATAGGAAAAGGAGTATATAATCACTGAAGCACAGACCTCAAGAAAGTGAAAGGGGATGGGTTCTAATGCACAAAAGGGAGAGTTGGTTTGGGATGGAACAGGGATGTTTCCTTCAATGAAAGAGGAGGAAAGGCAGGAAGTATTTGCAGATTGACAGATTTGGTGGTAAGATAAAGGTCTATTTCCCTTGTTTTCTCAGTGAAGAATGAGCCAAGAACATAAATTTGAGGTAGGAGGAGAGGGATACCGAAGGTTTGGGGAGATGAGAAGGTATTGACAGGCATATGAAGTCTGGAAGAATAAACGTGTCCAGAGCCTGTGGTAGGATCTCAGGCAGTGTTGTGCACCCACTTGAGATTTGTGGACATGAATTTAAAGTGAGACCAGTCATCAGCAATCATGTTTGATTGATAAGCACACAGGAATGAATAGAGTTTGGTAAATAAAGTGGTGTTTTTGCAACTGTTCACTGAATAAATAAATGAGTGGAGTAATATATAAAAATTTGGATAAGGGAGGGGGAAGGGAAATAAAGAGGGAATGTGTATTTACCTTTTTACAACCTACTTGAAGACAAAACACAATTATTCGAGGACAAAGCCATATTTCAACAAGCACAAACATAGTAAGTTTTCAAGTTGAAGTTATAAATTCTGAAACAAATGCAAGGTAAGGAGGGGTGGGGGCTGGGTGGAGGTGGGCAAAGTTGGGGTAAAGGGGAGACATCTGTAATAGTGTCAATAATAAAAATAAAGAAAAAAAAATGCAGGGTAATGGCATACTGAAAATAAGGTGAAGAGGCCCTGGGCCAGGTAGAGCGTCGTACCAATCCACCAAGGTTGGTTAGAGCATTGTACCGATATGCCAAGATTGTGGGTTCTATCTCTGGTCAGGGCGCATATAAGAAAAGCAACCAACGAATGCATAAATAAGTGGAACAAATTGATGATTCTCTCACTTCCTTCCTCTGTAAAAGAAAAATCAATAAATAAAAATCTTAAAAATATAAGACTAAGGAGATATTAATTGGGGAGAGCATTCCTGAAGTTAAGTTTCAGATCTGACTTCAAATTAAATAGGAAAAAGTGGTAACAGAAAACAGAGGAAAAAGGGGGAAGACAGACAGATGTTAAGCAAGTTGGGTAGTATGAGCTATGTTGTATGTAGTGTTGAATAACTGGAAAAGGACTTTGAGTCCAAAAGTAGGGACAATTACATAAAGAGTAACCTCTTCATGCTAAACACTAACAGATAGCTTATCTGACAATGGCTACTATGTATCTAGTGCCTGCCTTGTGTCCTGGCACTGTGCCAGTCATTTTAAATATATATGATTTCCAATACAGCCACCTTACAGAATTAAGTATTATTCATTACTAGTGACTAAAACTCCACTGACAGATGAGGGAATTCAGACTCAGTATTTCAGTAATTCTACCAAGATACCACAGTTAGTAAAGAGCTGAAGGGGGATTTGAAGCCAGGTTCCCGATTCCAAAGGCCACCATCAGTCGCACTTTCTTTAACTCCGTATTCCCACTTCCCTTGCACTTAGCACAGAGGCCTCCCCAGGACAAATGTTTAGCAGCAGTAGAAACCCCAAAACGTAGATCAGAGGACCTGCCTTTGGACTTAATCCCGTTTGTTTCCTAACAACCCTCTCCACCCCACTTCCCACTCTCACCCCCAGCTCACTGGTCTTTCAATTTCTCCAGTAGGACCACCTCTTTCCTCCCCAAGGCACTTGCAATTATGTTGCCAGTTTACTTTCTGGTGTCTTTCCCCAGTATTAAGCCCACAAGACCAGAAAGCTCAGAGTCTTCCTTACCTTTGATTTCCCAGAGCTGTGCTGTCCAATACAGGAGCCACTAGTCACATGTGGCTATTCAGAACTGCAATTGTGGCACCTCAGAAGTGTAAAATTCTTACTGGGTTTCGAAGACTTGGTACGAGAAAGGAATGTATGTGATCTCATTAATATTTTAAAATATCGATTACACGTTGAAATGATAATATTTGGAGAAACTAGGTTAAATGTGATTAAAATTAATTTCACCTGTTTTACTTTTTAATGTGGCTACTAGAAGATCTTAATTTACTAAGTGACTCACATTATACAGGGTCTGGCACAAATAACGCCCCTTTTTATGAGCTGGTAATCTATACCAAATCTTGTATTGTAAAATCATAAGCATGTATTTCTGTAACATGACAGTATCACACTCACGCACACCAGATGACATTTTTAGGTGAAATGTTCAAACTGCTGTCCATCTTGCGCGAGACATTCTCGTACCCTACCAACCACACTCAAGCAAGCCTTACGACATAATTCAATGGTAATGTCAGCGAATTTGTCCTGAATTCTGTCTTTCAGTTCATCGATGTTGCGGGGTTCGGTCTTGTACACAAGATCTTTAAGGACACCCCACAAAAAGAAATCGGGAGGAGTTAGGTCCGGGGATCCATCTGGCCACTCCAGCGGTCCTCGTCGCCCTATCCATCTCCCTTCGAAATGCACGTCTAACCATTCCCTGACACACAATGCATAATGTGGTGGTGTGCCGTCCTGCTGGAAGTAAACCCCAAAGTCATGTTCAACTCTAGGCCACAGTTCTGTTTGTAGGACATGTAGGTAATTATTCTGATTGACAGGACCATCAAAGAACACTGGCCCAATTATACCCATGACTGATATCGCTGCCCAAACTGTTACCCCTGGTAAGTTTATGTCTTTCTCTAAGATAACGTGTGGATTCACCTCATTCCAATACACACAATTATGGCGATTGATATGGCCATTCAATTTGAACGTAGCCTCATCCGACCACCATATCTTGGTTGGAAAGTTCTCATCCTCACGTAATTTGGCCAAAAATCTTTCACAAAATTCTACTCTTCTGTCTGAATCTCCATCATGTAAGGAGTGTAGCAAACGTGGTATGTATGGCTTCATTTTCATTTTGTCCAGCAACCTTCGCACGCTTCTGTCACTAATACCAAGTTCCCCTGACAGACACTTACTGGATTTTTGAGGGCTTCGTAACAACGATGCCCGTAATTCAGCAGCTTTTTCTTCTGTCGTCGCTGAAACTCGTCTTCCTGATCTTTTGGCATCATGCACGCTGCCCGTTGCCTCAAACTTTCTGATCAGACTGGTGATGTTCCGACTCTGCACAAGTCGTATGCCAAATTCTTCACGTAACAAACGAGCTGTTGCTGCTCCGTTGCACTGGTTTTGATAGTACAGCTTCACTGCTCTCACTCGCTGTTCCCTTGTCAGTCGATGGGCCATTTTACTTCAGGGAGCCTGGAACACAAAGGTTAGTAAGGTTACTAAGACAACACGTCCATTTATACTATCCTATACCACTTTAAAAAGGGTGTCATTTCTGCTGGACCTTGTATGTCTAGGCTCTAAGGTAGTGTTGTCTCAGAGCCTAGCAAAGTGTCCTGACCTATTTTATTTAGAGAAGTAACCAATGTTAACAGACCGACAGAAGTAATGGGTGAGTGAAGATACGGTCTTTGCCTTCCATTAGGAAAGTGGGGATACAGCATTGTCCTAGAAGTCAGGAGACCTTTGGTTCCAGGATTTACTGGCACCACTGTGTAACCTACCCCACGCTGGGCATCAATTTTCCCATCGGGCAGTTGATCTCTGAGGTCTCAAAGGGTGTGAGAATGAGTGGTGCATAAAGGTGGGGAATCCTGGTCCGATAGCCCTTGTCTCCTGTTTGGCTCTAGCAGAGCACCACAGCTTCGGCCAACGAGAGAAGGCAACAAGAATCGCAGACTTGATTCCTGAAGCCAGCGTCGGACCGCCAGCTTCCTTCGTCTGACGTCACTGGGGCGCGACGCTGTAGTCTGTCCCGTCCTCCAAGAGGCGGTGGCTCCCGCGAAGGCGCGTGCAGAGCAAACAGAGTCAAACAGCTCCCGGGGCGCTTTGGGACCCGATTCCCAGTAAACCAGCCACGGGCGACCTTCTCCTTACTTCCCTTTTGCCGGGCGCATGAACCCGAGAGATATGAACCCCACCGGAGAGTCCGGAGCCCACTCTCAGTGCGGCTGCGCAGGGCACGTGCGCATCTTCGCCGGTCTCGGCGATTGGCTGTGACGTTACTTCCGGCGTGAGTGGCGAAAGCCGGGAGGGCGAGCGACTGAGCGAGCAGGCATCTAGCAGGAGGCAGCAGCGGGCGGGCGGGCAGACGGCACAGAGGGAGGGAGCAAGTGAGCAGTGAGTGAGCCAGCGAGGGCAACCGCGTCCCGAGATCAGCCTAGATTCCTCTCGTCCCTCTGACCCCCTCCCCGGAGCCCACAGCGCCTCCGGTCTCCAGCGGAGCGGACACGGCCCTGCCCGGCCATGGCCTCGTTGCTGAAGGTGGATCAGGAAGTGAAGCTCAAGGTAGCGGCACCTGTCCGGGCCTCGTTACCCCTGGCTTCGATCCCCGAGCAGTCTGACCGGATCCCCACTCCCCATGGCGTCTTTGTCTCCCTGGGGACACCAGCTCTGAGCTTCCGCTCTACTCAGCCCAGCCCCCCCACTCCCGAAAACGGCATCGGGGAAGAGGATGATATAGGGTGGCCTTCTGTAACTCGTCTGGTGATGGAGAGCCCTAGGAACGCTTCTGCGGACACGTGGTGAAAACTCAGTGCTTTAGGCTAGTGACAGCTGGAAGTTCCCCAGCCCCGCCTCCGGACGCTGCCGCTGCCCTTGGCGTCGGGCCTGCCTGGTATCTTGGGCCAGGTCTGGACGGGGGTTGGCACGTTTGTGAGCTCACACCTGTCCTATCTACCTGTTTTTCTTCTGCTCACAAATGCAGAGAGCCTCAGACACAAAGAGGGAGAGAGGGAAGATAGGCGGGCGCTGCCCTCAAGGCCTGCTTCCCTCTCCTGAGATGGAGAAATGGGTCCTCAAAAAAATAAAATATTTGCAGTCTGGGGGCCTCTCAGCTTCTCATTACAATTACAAGGTGAGGGAAAGACAGTTAGATTTGGGTTTCCCCATCCTGCCCTCACCTCTGTTGCCAAGTACTGACTTGTTCTTACTGAATTGCTCTTTGTTAATTTTAGGTTGATTCTTTCAGGGAGCGGATCACAAGTGAGGTGAGTGAAATAAATGGAAAAATGAGTGTTGGTTAATAATTGGGAGTTTCCCAAAGGAGAGAGAGCTGTAGAGAGAATCTATCCCACAATTCTTAATGTATTTTTCCTCATCTTTAGGCAGAAGACTTGGTGGCAAATTTTTTCCCAAAGAAGTTGTTAGAACTTGATAGTTTTTTGAAGGTGAGAGACCCTTTTCCTCAGATTTCCCTGTTTTTTTGGTCCTGGTCTTTCTGTCAAATGGGACAAACCACGTGTTGATTCTATTTTGTTTTGTACTTCATGTGAAGCACTCTCATTTCTTGCCCTTCAAATGAAATATTTCTTTGTTTATCTTGAAAAGACTAACGTTTAGGGGGTTGGCGTCTCTCTTTCAGGAACCAATCCTGAACATCCATGACCTAACTCAGATCCACTCAGACATGAATCTCCCTGTCCCTGACCCCATTCTTCTCACCAATAGCCACGATGGACTGGACGGTGTAAGTGTCCTATATTTACCTTTGTCTTCTGAAGCAATAGGCTCTGTGTCCTCTCTTTCCTGGTCAGCTTGCACATGTACAGAGGAGACAGTAGGATTTGGATCTGGGAATGAGGACTTTCAAAGACGTGATGACTCCCGTACACCCCCTTTAGACCCTGATTTTCATTTATAGAATGAGGTGAATTTGCTAATGTTACTCAGTGTTAGAGTAAGTTTCAAAATAGGACTAATAGCTACAAGTTCCCTCAGGTTTTCTGGTCTGCTCCCATGGCTTTAAGCAAGACTTTTTATTCACCTGTTTCAGTATCTTGAGCCCTGTTATGGGATGAGTAGTTCTTCTTGACATATAAATGCAGTCCCTGCCTTTGCTGTGCATCTTTGTTACCTAGTCCTTATCAATTAAATGTCCACATTCTATAACTCTAATGACATTGTATTGTTCTTTGTCTGCATTACTGTCTCATTGTTAGAACTTACACTTCTAGAAAGCAGAAACTGTCTTAATCATTTTTGTATTCCCAGTACCTTGCATTGTTCCTGGTATATAACAGGTGCTAAAAAAATGTGTTGATTGACTATTTTGTTTCTTTGTGGAACCAGCAGACTTATACATGTTCCCTTAATTATCTTTACCCTGCATTGAATGGTTCTTTTTTCCTAGTGTTTACAGCAGTGATTTTCAACCAGTACACCACAAGAATTTTTAAAACAAGCGACACCTATTTAACCCAGGGCATTGACCTCTTTGCCCTTAGATTGTCAAGTGAAAATGACAAAAGCCAACACGACAGTAGTCGTTTGGTGTGGCTGAATCAAAATTATACCTATTTTTTGTCATATCTGCAAAAATAATTATTTGGGTATGTTGCAGAATTTTAGTAATTAGTTTACGTGTGCCATGCCATGAAAGGGGTTGTAAATCACTTTTTTATAGCATCCATCCCTCTCCTCCAATTGCTTAATGTGTTGTATTTCTTGGAAGATTGCTCCTACCAAGTAGAGTATAAGTTGCTTTGTGGCTAGAGGCTTTTATTAAAGGCTTGCATGTACTTAGCAAATCGCATACGTTAATAAGATAATCTAGGGGGTCAAAGAAATGATGGAACTTGTATGAAGTGTAACTTGTGATAGAGATGTGAGTTTTGAGAGCAGGCTAATTTCTGTCTCTTTGTTTTCCTAGCCCACTTACAAAAAGCGAAGGTTGGATGAGTGTGAAGAGGCCTTTCAAGGTAAGAACCACCCCGCCCTGCCCCACCTAACCCTGCAGGATGGGTCTGGTGTTCTCCTGGCCTGGAAGCAGGATCCGATTTTATTTCCCAGAGTTAGCATTTCCAAGTCTTCCAAATATGGTCATTATTTAGCACTCTAAACCTAACTTTCCAGTAAAAAGGGAGGGTTCAACTTAGTGTGAACTGCCAAAGGAGAAAGGTTGGGGCAACTATGCATTGCAGACTCCTCACGGAAGTCCTAGCTCCATGTTATTTTCTCCTCTCTTAACAATAGTTGGCACCTTAAATCTTTAGATCTTATTTTAATTTTCTTACTCTTTAGACTTCGGGCATACTATAGACACTCACTTGCTAACCCATACATTCTCTCTTCTTGATTCTGTCGGTGGTGTTAGTGTTGGTTGTGACAGATAAAAGGCAGAGGTCATAGCATCTCACGGGTCTGGGGAAGAAGAGAGAGAGGTGGGGATGCTCTGTCCTGGCCCTCACCCCAATCATTTGGCCTTCTTCATGTCCCTGCCAGGAACCAAGGTGTTTGTGATGCCCAATGGGATGCTAAAAAGCAACCAGCAGCTGGTGGACATTATTGAGAAAGTGAAACCTGAGATCCGGCTGCTGATTGAGAAATGCAACACGGTGAGGCAGGGGCTAGTGACCTCCGGGCTGACTTCAGACAGCCTGGCTTGAACAATGAAAAATGACGGACGGCGGGGCTGGAGGCATGGAGGTGACATGGGTGTTGGCAGACTAAGTATCTTGGCTCCTGTGCTCCTGGCATCTGGCCCCAGCAGCATGAATTGTATACTTCATGGTGTGAGCAGAAGCAGCCGTGGTTGTCATATATATTTTGGTCTTTTCACCCTCCAGGTCAAAATGTGGGTACAGCTCCTGATTCCTAGAATAGAAGATGGGAACAACTTTGGGGTGTCCATTCAGGTACTGCATGTTCATTACACACTGGAGAGGAAGGTCGGGGAGATACTCTTACCTCTCCTGCTTTGTCTATTGAAGTGGCTTTTGACTTACTGTTGTTGTCGTCGTTGTCTTTGTTGTTTCAGGAGGAGACAGTTGCAGAACTAAGAACTGTTGAGAGTGAAGCTGCATCTTATCTGGACCAGATTTCCAGGTAGGGTTGCTTGGGCTTGGCCCAAGAATCGGGGACTGGCGAGGCGGTAAGCACTGTCCAGGGTCTCCTGCAGCTTTCTCCTCTTCTTTCTCCTTCCAGATATTATATTACAAGAGCCAAATTGGTTTCTAAAATAGCTAAATATCCCCATGTGGTAAGTAAGGGTTCTGTGGCCTGAGGGTGGAAGTGGTAGGATAGGGAGGAGTGACCGTTCTTGGGAAAGAGCTGTCTGGGGACAATCTGGCCTTGGGAACTGGCTTTTTCTTTGCCCCTTCATTCAGGAGGACTATCGCCGAACCGTGACAGAGATTGATGAGAAAGAATATATCAGCCTTCGCCTCATCATATCAGAACTAAGGAATCAATATGTAAGTACCCTTGGCCCCTGCCCACCGTTGCCTTTACTTCTCTTAGATCTGGTAATAAATTGCTTGTCACCTTCTGGGGGTCGAGATGGGGAACAGAGGTAAAATGAATAGAACAAACTCTGCTGGTCAACTGAGTATCGAGAACTATGAAATCATTGAGGGCATCTAGCTGGGTATCTCCCTTCTTCCTCCCTCGATGGGAGGCAGTGCAATACAGTATAAGTGCGAAGATGAGGTTGTTAGAGTCAGACAGACCTGGGTGTGGAACCAACCCTACTTTTAATGTGTGGCCTTGGGCAAGTTGTTTAAGCTCAGACTTTAGTTTCTTCAGCTCTAAAATGGAACTTAGAGTATCTGCTGCACAAAGATGGTTTTAAAAAATGAATGAGATAGGTTTCTGGCAGGTGTGGCTCAGTGGATTGAGCGCTGGCTTGCAAAACAAAAGGTCACTGGTTTGATTCCCGGTCACGGCACATGCCTGGGTTGCAGGCCAGTGCCTAGTTGGGGTGTGTGAGAGGCAGCCGATCGATGTTTCTCTTCCTCTCTTTTCTCCTTCCCTTTTCCTCTCTCTAAAAATAAAAAAATAAACTCTTTAAAAAAAAAATGGGTGAGAGAGCCCTGGCCAGTGGCTCAGTGGGTTGGAGCATCATCCTATACACCAAAAGATTGCAGGTTCGATTTCCAGTCAGGGCACATACCTGGGTTGTGGGTTCAATTGGGCCACACACAGGAGGCGACTGGTAGATGATTCTCTCTCACATCGATGTCTCTCTCTCTCTCTCTCTCTCTCTCTCTCCCTCCCTCTCCCTCCCTCCCCCCTCCCCCCCCTTTTCTCTCTCTAAAATCAGTAAACATGTCCTTGAGCGAAAATTAAAAAATAAATTCTTAAAAATGAGTGAGATAATACATTAAAGGGCCCAGTGCAGATCTTGGTACATTAAGTGCACAATAAATGTTAGTTATTGTTAGACGCTCAGAGCCTTGGAAACACCCAGATGTACGCAGTTTGGGGTTTAAGAGAGGCAGGGCCGCCACCTTGATTTCAGGTTCAGATGCGTGAGGATGAGACTGTGTGGATGATTGTTCGGGGACTTGGTAGGGAGGGGTCTTTTCCTTTTGAAGTGTGAGTAGGGCAGATGTGCGATTCTCTGATCTCTCTTTTCCCAGGTCACTCTACATGACATGATCCTGAAAAATATTGAGAAGATCAAACGGCCCCGGAGCAGCAACGCAGAGACACTGTACTGAGGCCAGGGCCAGGGCCAGGGGACTCTGTGAGTCTGGCTCAAGACCGACATTGCCTTGGTTTGTTACATGACTATCGTGATGGGGAAACTGGCTGGAAATAGTAATCACACCTCTCTCTGTTTTTAGTTAGAGTCTAATGAAGCTCTCATGTAGTTCTGTGACGTGTTTACCTCTTTTTTCAGGCCTCAGGAACTCTTCTATTTCCTTCCCTAATACCCCGACCTGTCCTCTAATTTCTGGAGAACTCCAGGTTTGTGTGTGCAGGATGTTGGCACAAGAATACTTGCGTTTTCTCTCCCCACCCTCCTGTGACTTGGGCTTTGTGTTTCTTTTTCTCCCTTTTGATGATTAGTCAGTTAGGAGCTGAGGGAACTAGAAGGAAAGTGCTAGGTGGTTTTTTTTTTAGGATCTGAGGTCGGGAGACCGGCTTCTCTCTTCTGATGCGAGGTTAGTGTTTCTTGCCAATGTGGGACATTGGATCCTCCCTGCCACAGTTGTCCTGGTGATGACTTCGGGTTTCCCATCTACATACATGACAAGAAACACCTTAGACGTCAGCTAAGTCCCTAGCTCCTTCAGGTGTTTTTATAACTAGAATTTTCACATACACATATGTGCATGATGGACACTCATACAGACACGCACATCTGACTTCTACTCTTTTACCTGATTGCCTCCCTTCTCTCTCTCTCTCTCTCTCTCTCTCTCTCTCTCTCTCTCTCTCTCTCTCTCTCACACACACACACACACACACACACACACACACACACACACTCTGTTCAGGAAGTGACAGTTGTCTTAGTTGTCATCCACCAGGGCCCATTGTCTCCTGATACTGTAGCCTCTTGGTGCCCAGAGGCTGGTGAGTTGGAGGAGAACCAAGAGGTGAGAAGCAGAGCAACTGGGGAAGGCTCCTTCTCTTTGACTCGGGTCTTTTGGGGCATTACTGCGAAGGCCAGTCCTCTTGGCTCCTGATTGCCTCTTCCTTGACCAGCTGTAAGTTGGGGTGGAGGTGTTCACAGCTGCGAGGGCCAGATGCTGCTGCTCCTGCTGGGCTTTCCCTTTGGAAAAGAGTTCTTTTATTTATAGTATTGTGCTTCCAGGGAAAGCAGTCACTGACGTGTGCATGTGTGTGCATGCACACACAGGCGTGTGTGCATTGTGTGTATGTGGAAATCTTTTGGGCAAGTCAAAACCATAGAAGAGTTGCCTCCTCTCTCTTGAATCTTCCAGAGATATCCCCCACTTTTTTATTCTACTGTTATTGGAGAGTCAATATCTGCAGACAGCCTGCTAGTGACTCTCAGTGTCTGTTTCTTATTCTTCCTGTCTCTGTCTTCCAACCCCTAAACATATTTCCACCTGGATGTATCATTTTTTACTCCCAATATGCTATATAGAGGAGTCAGGATGCTATCTTCCCATGAATAGTACTCAGTAACAAACCAATTGCATTTTAGTTGGGCAGTGCCCTTATCCACCCTCCAGATCCCTTCCAGATAAAACACGTCCCTTCTCCCACAATGCGTTTCTCAGTTTCCCTTTTCGTTTGTTGGATTGTTCTGCTGCCCTTCCTCCTCACCCTACTACCCTTGGATCGTAATGTAAAATTCTTTTACCATGTCAAAAAATTATTAAAAATACAGGTACTTTGACCTCTTTCTAAAGCCGCAGACCCTGGTGCGATGTTGTGGTGGCTGGGGCTGTAACCATATTCACATGTGTGCGTATCAGGATACCCTCCTCCACATGCACTGCCAGCCCCCCATTGGATGTCTTTATACCAGTTGAGCTTCCCCTTTTTTCTGAAATAATGGAAAGATTGAGACTTCTGCCTAGCAAGAGGCAAGGATGGGTCCATCATTGGTATTCAGCCTGAATTATGTGAAAGACAGCTCTTCCGGAATCGAAGCTGCTCTGTCCCAACCCTCAACAAGATCTCTCCTTCCTTCCTTCCCTCCTTCCTTCCCCAGTGATACCCATGAACTGCCAGTAGAGGCTGCTCTAGTTCCACGTGGGGAATCACCTGGGTCAAGTCACGCCCTACCCTGTGGTGGTCTTTACCGTACGCTGATTCTCCCTTCTGAATGATGTCTTAAATTTCTTGAGATGCCAGGGGACTCTTGGTTTCAAATGACTTGGAGGGCTATCTGGGACCCTAGCTCCCTCTGAAATAAAGTTTCCTCAACTTCCACCTTGTAACATAGCTTTCTGGTTTCCAATGGTCCCCTCGTCTCTGCAAAAAGAGATAAAAGGTTTGAACAGTGGAGGAACGTCTGCTCTGTTCTGTCTCAGAGATAACCAGTAGCTAACACTTTTTTATGTCTACCCTGTGTCATGCTCTGTCAAGCAGTTTATATGCATGGCCACATTTAATCTTCATGAATCGGTAGGGTGTTTCGTCCCTTCTTTACAGGTGAGGGCGCAGACTTGTGATAAGTACCTTCCCTGAGGTCACACAGCTTAGCGACCTGGTGTGCAGGGACTGGTGTGCAGATGTGGCTGCTAGGCCCAGGCCTTCACCACTTCTCGTTTCTCACCGACTAGGCACAGGAGGCCCGAGCCTGCAGGCCAAGGGCTTGGCCTTAGGGTTACTGCCGATCCTGGAAGTATATGGGCATTGCACACCTGCCAGGGTGTAGGAAAATTGGACAGTTTTAGTGCCTGCGTTCAGCACACAGGACTTGATTGGGCATCTGAGATTTGCATTGTTCCTCAGGCCCATTTTGGGTGGAATGTAAGAGTTTAGCGTTACTTCAGGTGCCCTCTAATCTGATGGTCTCAATGATGGAAATCAGCAGGGAGTGCCTATCTTGCTGCCGGTAGGAGGGAAGGGACAAGGGAGATGCTATGCACGTGGAAGTAGTGCCTTGAGCCAAACCACAGAATAGAAAATTGGAACAGAATTATATAAATCAAGGCCAGAAATTTCCTGTTCAACCCACAGGGTGGAGTTCTCTCCATTCCTGTCCATCCTACTGAATATAAACCCTGATTTGATGTCAGTCGCTGGAAGGAGCAGCCGGTAGGACTCCGTTCAGCTCTCACCATTCACCATGAATGTCAAGGTAGCCTTCGTGTTCCTGGCACTGTCCCTCATCACCATCTTTGCCCTGACCTATGTGTTGCTGACCAGCCACAGGGGCTCCGGCCAGCCTCCCCACTGCCCCTCCACACCTCCCAGTGCGCAGCCCTGGACACACGCTGGCCAGAGCCAGCTGTTTGCAGACCTGAGCCCAGAGGAGCTGACGGCCGCGATGAGCTTTCTGACCCAGCAGCTGGGGCCAGGCCTGGTGGATGCGGCCCAGGCCCGCCCCTCGGACAACTGCATCTTCTCGGTGGAGCTGCAGCTGCCCCCCAAGGCCGCAGCCCTGGCCCACCTGGACGGGGGGAGCCCCCCCACCTGCCCGGGAGGCGCTGGCCATCGTCTTCTTCGGCAGACAGCCCCAGCCCAACGTGAGTGAGCTGGTGGTGGGACCGCTGCCCCGGCCCTCCTACCTTCGGGATGTGACCGTGGAGCGGCACGGGGGGCCCCTGCCCTATCACCGGCGCCCCATGCTGGAAACCGAGTATGCCCAGATGTGGAAGCATTTGAAAGAGGTGGAGCTACCCAAGGCGCCGGTCTTCCTTGCTTCAGTCTTCAGCTACAATGGCTCCACTTTGGCATCTGTGCAGGCCACTCCTAGGGGCTTGCGCTCAGGGGACCGAACTACCTGGATAGCCCTCCACCATAACATCTCAGGTGTTGGGATTTTCCTTCACCCAGTGGGGCTGGAGCTACTGCTGGACCACAGGGCCCTGGATCCTGCCCACTGGGCTGTCCAGCGGGTCTTCTACCTTGGGCGCTACTATGCAGACTTGGGCCAATTGGAACGGGAGTTTAAGGCTGGCCGCCTGGAAGCGGTTAGAGTGCCTCTGCCCCTGCCAAACGGGGCCTCATCCCTGCGGTCCCGTGTCCCCCCAGGTCCTCTCCCCCCTCTTCAGTTCTCACCGCAGGGCTCCCAGTACAGTGTACAAGGGAACCTGGTGGTGTCCTCCCTCTGGACATTTACTTTTGGCCATGGGGTGTTCAATGGCATGAGGATTTTTGATGTTCGGTTCAAGGGCGAGCGAGTGGCCTATGAAGTCAGTGTCCAGGAGTGTCTGTCTATCTATGGTGCTGATTCACCCAAGACAATGATGACCCGCTACTTGGATAGCAGCTATGGACTTGGCAGTCACAGCCGGGGCTTGGTGCGGGGTGTGGACTGCCCCTATCAGTCGACGATGGTGGACGTCCACATATTAGCGGGCAAAGCGGCGGTCCAGCTGCTCCCAGGGGCTGTGTGTGTATTCGAGGAGGCCCAAGGACTACCCCTTCGAAGGCATTACAATCACCTTCAGAGTCATTTCTACGGTGGTTTGGCCGGCACAGCTCTCGTAGTCAGGTCTGTGTCGACTGTAGGCAACTATGACTACATTTGGGACTTCGTACTGTACCCAAATGGGGCACTTGAAGGGCGGGTCCATGCCACAGGCTTTGTCAACACAGCTTTCCTGAGTGGTGGGGAGGAAAGCCTCCTCTTTGGGAACCGAGTGGGGGAACAAGTGCTGGGGACGGTGCACACGCACGCCTTCCACTTCAAGCTGGACCTGGATGTGGCAGGTGAGTGTTGGGGGAACGAGGACCGAGAGTTGGGGTGGAGTGGAGGGAAGGAAGACCGCGCCCCCGGCCCTGCTCCAGATCAAGCTGGAGGAGTCAAGAGGGTAGCATTCCAGCTCCATAGGTCATTGTGGTAGCAGAGCCAGGGCTGACTGAACTGCGTTCAGCTGCAGTCAGCGTGACATGCTGGGCTTTCCGGCAGAAGGTGGAGAGGGTCCCCCTCACAAGCTCTGATCATCCAGCCCCTCGGATGTGCGGCCATGCTGAAATTGGCTTAAATGGAATGGCTGTGCCTGCCTGCCTTAGCCTTGAAGGACAGTGTGGGCGGTGAATTTGCCATGAAGCTGGGTGGACTGGAGTTGGGGCTCTGAGTTCCTCCTCATTCTGAGGGTCAGTGGAGGCAGGGGAATCAGGGGCCTGAGCAGCGGTGGGGTGCAGTCCACCTAAGGGGGTTTTCTGAGTAGAGCTGGTCCAGGGCGTGAGAAGGGAGCAGGGACACTAGCTGGGAGCTGCTCCACGGGAGTTCCGACACCCGGGGATGTGGGACGGTGGCCCTGTCCTCCCAGGGAGGGCCGCCCCACTGCTGTCAGCACACATTGTCACAGCGGGTGCCCGAGCGACAAGGCAGGCACGTAGCAGGCTTGCTGCAAGTGTCGAAAGGGACTTCTCAAGCAGGGCTCGGAGCACAAAGAGGACTTGCTGCTCCTGACACGTTTTTGTCGGGGACAGAAAGTAACCAACTTGTCAAATCACAGATGATTGGACCCAGAAAGAAAATTAGAGACCCACCAGACCCTCTCCGTTTTACAGTTAGGGGAATTCAGGAGGGTCGGGGAGATGGGAAAGGTAGTGGTTTCCCAAGCATAAAGTGCTGTAACTAAGGATATTTCTTGTGAACATTCTCTTGTGCTCTTGGGTATAAAGACATGACTTGAGTGTGTATGGTGTTGGGGCGGAGAGGAGGAGGAACTAAGAAAATAGCATGATTGAAATGGCATATTAACAATTCTTGGACATATTTGGAATAGGACTATTTTCTGATTTGAAGTTTCTCTTCAGCATTTTTGGTATTTAAGAGCCTTGTCTTAGGAAGTAAAATCAACTGATATTTATTGGATCCCTGGTGGGTACAGCAGAGGCTGGTGCTGTGGGCCAGAGGCTGTGCCAGGCCCCCTGCGCACAGGACAACCAGCAGGGGCACTGGCTTCAGTAGAGCGCCCCCTACCCCCCTCCCGTGCCAGCCGCCTTCCTATAGGTCATGTGTAAAGGAACCAACAGTGCGAACATGCCAAATGTATGACCGAGTGCTGAGTGGGTTGGGGTAACCAGTGCAGGTTATCAATGCAATGGAGTTCTAAGGAGTTCCCAGGCAATTTAAAGATATAAATCTCACTTCTGAAAAAGGTGAAAGTGGTCCCCAGCTTGTTGAGAAAGAAAGGAAATTCTCAGAGCTGAGAGGGATATGCAGAGTACTATGGAAGGGGACTGGGTTTTTCCAGCCAGCTTCTCTAAGACAAATGTCCCTTTCATAAGTTACAAGAATGTAACCAGCCACCTGCGTGTGCTTTTCCATTTACAGAGCTCAGCCATAGAAGAGCTTTTATTGTGCCAAGGGTAGGGATTCAGAAAATGAGAAAGAAGCAAATAGTCGGTCCAAGGGTAGACCAGTGCTAACAGAACTTTATGCAGTAATGGAAATATTCTACATCTGCATCGTCCAATACATCAGCCACTAGCCACATGTGGTCACTGAGCACTTGAAATGTGGCTACTGTGACTGAGGAACTTGAGTTTTTAATTTAAAAGCAAATGGTCACTTGCGACCACCTGTAACCGTGTCAGACAGGGCAGGGTTGGAGAAGAGGGGCGAGGCCGCAGGTCAGTACCGCCTGGCTCCCCGCGCGGAGTGTTCTCTGAGGAGCTCTGCTGCCCTTTGTCGGGCTGGTGCGGGGGCTGTCCTGGGGGGATGAACCTGTCTCGCCTGGCATGGAACTCCTCTCCCTCCCCTCATTCTGGCAGGGCTGAAAAACTGGGTGGTGGCTGAAGACGTGGTGTTTAAACCTGTGGCGGCTCCTTGGAGTCCAGAACACCGACTGCAGCGCCCACAGCTGACCCGGCAGGTCCTGGGAAGGGAGGACCTGACAGCTTTCTCCTGGGGAAACCCCCTTCCTCGCTACCTTTACCTGGCTGGCAACCAGACTAACGCCTGGGGTCACCGGCGCGGGTACCGGATCCAGATCCACAGCCCCCTCGGCATACACTTGCCCCTGGAGAGCGACATGGAGAGGGCGCTCAGCTGGGGGAGGTGAGGAGGGCTCTGGGCACGGGGTGGTAGGGAAGGACCGGTCCCTTTCCCATCCCAGCTCTTGGACACCCCAACTTGCTATCCTTGCTCACCATCCACCCCCGGACCTCCTCTCAGATCCAAGCAGATATGGGATGGGAGAGGATCTTACACAGAATCTGATCCAAAGGACTTCTGGGACAGTAAAGATCTTTGACATTTTCTGACTCCGCCCTCTCACAACATTCCTGGTCAGATACCAGCTCGTGGTGACCCGGAGGAAAGAGGAGGAGCCACAGAGCAGCAGCATCTATTACCAGAATGACATCTGGACCCCCACTGTTGCCTTTGCTGACTTCATCAATAATGAGACGCTCTTAGGAGAGGTCGGTAGCTCTAGAGACAGAGGAGGGAGGCTCCTCTGTGCCTGGGGTCTCGGCTGCCCGAACCCTGGCATTAGATTGGAGGGGATGGTACACTTCCAGGTCTCTGATTCCGGAGCCAAGGAGTTCTCTGATGAACAATGTGGGCCATCCCTCCTGGGGTGAGATTAGCCCTGGGACACTGACCACCACTCAGCTTGTCACATGGAACACCACGTGGGCCACCACGTGGGCCTGGGGCTGGGAGGCGGTGGAAGCAGGGCTGAGGGTGGAGGCTGGGGATTGCGGCCGAGGGGTGGTTCTCCGAGTCTCGCCTCCAAAGTCCTTCAGCTCCTCCCTCTTCCTTCAGGACCTGGTGGCCTGGGTTACAGCCAGCTTCCTGCACATCCCCCATGCTGAGGATATCCCCAACACAGTTACTGTGGGGAACAAAGTTGGCTTCTTGCTCCGACCCTATAACTTCTTTGATGAGGACCCATCCATCTTCTCCCCTGGCAGCGTCTACTTTGAGAAGGGCCAGGACGCTGGGCTCTGCGATGTCAACCCTGCGGCCTGCATCCCCCACCTGGCAGCTTGTGTCCCGGACTTGCCTCCTTTCTCTTATCAAGACTTTTAGCCCCAAGACCTATGTGCCTTCCTCTCTCTTTCCAATTTCTCCTCCCCTGACTCCCACCCTCTTAAAGTTTCTCAGGAAACAGCCTCTTCCCACAATAAACCCCCATGTATCCTTTTGGTTAAGTCATAGGTCTAGTTTTATTTTTTAATGATAAATTTATACAGATGATATTATTAAAATATTCAAGCAAAAATACCACAAATCCTACCCCTCAGAAATAGCTAGCATTCACATTTGGTGACCATTATACCAGATATTTCTTAACCAGGTGCATTGAAATGGAAGAATAGATAGAGTTTTGTAAAAATAAATGATATGTGCAATTTATAATAAAAAATATGACAAGATTTTTACTTGAATTTCTTCTATGTGACTTTTGAAGTATCTAGAATTCCCCAGAGAATATTAAGGATTCTGGCCAAGGAATTTAATCATGGGGGAGAGAGGACAAGGGCAACAGGCCTGGCTAAGGAATGCTGCTTGGGAAACTGAAGGCTGGGGGTGAAGGTTTCCTTGGAAAGAGAACAGTACTTCCAAGTTACAGGGTAGGGAACCTCTGGCCCTGGGAAGGTGGGGATGAAGGGAAGAAGCCGGGCTGAGGGACACAAGGGGCTGAAGACCCTGCCCCTTGATGGCGGTACATTTTTGTGCTAAGGCTGGTCAGCTACATTATTTTGAAATGCCTCTCCCTTCCCCTACTCCATCTCCCCCTGGTTCCAACCCTAACCCAGAGAGCAGAGTCCAATTTGGAGCCTGGAAGACAAAGCCTTGTAAGGTCTGTGGAAATCACTGCGGCCCTGCGTCAGCCCCGCCCCCCAGCCCCCCTCCGCCCCGCCCCCCTGGCCTCAGCCTTCCCAGTCTTTCCCACCCTCAGTCTCCTGTGCCTCTGAATACTGGGAACTTAAACCAGAGTCCAGGAGGCCCCAGCATAGGAGCCAAGAGAGACCTTGTTCTGTGACCAGAGAATACACTTCACTCTGGTTCAACCCTCTGTCCCTCTCTTCACAAGACAATGAACCAGAAGACCACCCTGGTGCTCCTTGCTCTGGCGGTCATCACCATTTTTGCATTGGTGTGTGTCTTGCTGGCTGGCAGGGGAGGGGATGGGGGTGAACCCAGCATGCCGCCCCACTGCCCCTCCACACCTCCCAGTGCGCAGCCCTGGACACGCGCTGGCCAGAGCCAGCTGTTTGCAGACCTGAGCCCAGAGGAGCTGACGGCCGCGATGAGCTTTCTGACCCAGCAGCTGGGGCCAGGCCTGGTGGATGCGGCCCAGGCCCGCCCCTCGGACAACTGCATCTTCTCGGTGGAGCTGCAGCTGCCCCCCAAGGCCGCAGCCCTGGCCCACCTGGACGGGGGGAGCCCCCCACCTGCCCGGGAGGCGCTGGCCATCGTCTTCTTCGGCGGACAGCCCCAGCCCAACGTGAGTGAGCTGGTGGTGGGACCGCTGCCCCGGCCCTCCTACCTTCGGGATGTGACCGTGGAGCGGCACGGGGGGCCCCCTGCCCTATCACCGGCGCCCCGTGCTCTTCCGGGGAGTACCTGGACATAGACCAGATGATCTTCGACAGAGAGCTGCCCCAGGCTGCCGGTCTCCTCCACCACTGCTGCTTCTACAAACGCCAAGGAGGGAACCTAGTGGCAGTGAACACGGCCCCCCGGGGTCTGCGGTCAGGGGACCGAGCTACCTGGTTTGGCCTCTACTACAACACCTCAGGCGCTGGGGTTTTCCTGCACCCCGTGGGGCTGGAGCTGCTGGTAGACCACAAGGCCCTGGACCCTGCCCGCTGGACCATCCAGAAGGTGTTCTTTCAAGGCCGCTACTATAAGAGCCTGGCTCAGCTGGAGGAGCAGTTTGAGGCTGACCTGGTGAATGTGGTGCTGATCCCAGACAACGGCACAGGTGGGTCCTGGTCCCTGGAGTCCCAGGCGCCCCCAGGTCCGGCTCCCCCTCTGCAGTTCCACCCCCAGGGCCCCCGCTTCAGTGTCCAGGGGAGTCGAGTGGCCTCCTCATTGTGGACTTTTTCTTTTGGCCTTGGAGCTTTCAGTGGCCTGAGGATCTTTGACATCCGCTTCCAGGGAGAACGGCTAGCGTACGAGATCAGCCTCCAAGAGGCCTTGAGCATCTACGGTGGGAACTCTCCCTCAGCACTGCTGACCCGCTATATGGATGGCAGCTTTGGCTTTGGCAAGTACTCCACACCCCTGACCCGAGGGGTGGACTGCCCCTACCTGGCCACCTATGTGGACTGGCACTTCCTTTTGGAGTCCCAAGTCCCCAAGACATTACGAGATGCCTTTTGTGTGTTTGAACAGAACCAGGGTCTCCCCCTGAGGCGACACCACTCAGATGGACACTCCCATTATTTTGGGGGCCTTACAGAGACAGTGCTGGTCATCAGATCTGTGTCCACTTTGCTCAATTATGACTATTTGTGGGATATGGTCTTCTACCCCAATGGAGCCATAGAAGTCAAATTCCATGCCACGGGCTACATCAGCTCAGCATTCCTCTTTGGTGCTGCCCGAAGTTATGGGAACCAGGTTGGGGAGCACACACTGGGCACCGTCCACACCCACAGCGCCCACTTCAAGGTGGATCTGGATGTAGGAGGTAAGACATCCTAGAGGGGAAAGTATTCTGGGAGAGGGGACCGAAGTGTTATCTCTAATTGTTTTGGATTTACAATGGTTATGCAGAGAAGGACGATATGAGAACGAGTGTATGGTTTTGGAGTTCATGCTCCCTCTTTGGCTGGACAGGAGAAAATCGGATGCTGAATTGTATTCAGGTCATTGGCTGGTGCACAGCTGCCACCTCCCCCTCCTCGTGGCCTCATCAGAAAATCTTGGGAAATGGCTCAGCTCCGGGAGGAGGCAGGATCTGGGCTAAGAGGGTTCCCTTTGTCCTCTTCCCTCTTTGGCCCTCACATGGGGCCTATTTCAGGGAGGCAGCCATTTGTCTTTTGGTTCTTTTCACTGCATCTGCTGGTTTTTTGGAGGATCTGTTTGCCAAGTTTCTGGCACATGCAGGCCAGTCATGGAACACCCCGGACTGGACATTTCCTAGGGAGGTGGACCCTCCTCCTTCCTGATTTTCTCTCTCTCCCTGTACTTAAGTGAAGGATAAAATGGATACTGTGGAGCATTCCAGATACTCACAGAGAGAGCCAAGGAGACATGATGTCTTAGAATCTTTTTACTGTTCTTCTTCACGTTGAGCTGATCACCAGATTTTTTATTTTTTCCTGTTCCAACTCTGAAACATCTGAAATTCCTCACTGGCCCCTCTCTCATGCCCCTGTTCGTGCTAGATCTCCTGCTGCTGCTTCCTCTCTTCTTCCTCCCAGATGCTGGGTTTGCTCTGTGCCCAGAGAGACCTACCAGCCCAGGCCAGCCTGCTCCCTCAGACAGGTCTCACTCTCCCCACCACCTACGGGATCCCATGCACAGAAGAGCCTATGAGGCCCTTCTCTTTAGAGCGCAGCTCCATCCAGCGTTTCAGATTCTTCCCTGTGCACTGGTTTAGCCACACTCCCAGCCAAACTGTCCCTGGACACACACAGCGCATGAGACGGTCAGGCTTCTTTGCTTTTGCACATGTTTTGTCCCTGTCTGGGGCGCCCTGCTATATCATCTCTGCTGGTAACATCCTGTAAGACTAGGCTGCAAAGTCGCCCAGGCGGCCTTTTCCTGCTTGCACCTCTATCCCTATAACCTTGAATTTTGAACGTGCCCCTCGCACATTGCAAGCCAGTCAGGGCATTGCCTCCCGCATCCCCTGGGAGAGCAAAAGGGTAAGACTGATGTTTTGCTCATCTGTGCATCCCCAGAGCCGAGCCTGGGCCCTGTCGCTCATGAGGCGAGTGAACAAACAAATGAAATAAGAAACAACAAAATCCTTGACAAAGTATTTTATAGATCGATGGCTTTGGCTAAAAGACTGAGGATGTTTTGGGGAGAGGAAAAGGAAGTAGGGGACACACTCCGTCCTGGGCTTCTCTTTGGGCCCCCATCTGAAGCCAGGTAGGTACAGAGCAGCTGCATGACCAGCTCTCCCTCCCACCCTTTCTCCCTCCTCCTCCCCGCTCCCCGGTAGGACTGGAGAACTGGGTCTGGGCTGAGGACATGGGCTTTGTCCCCATGACGGTACCCTGGAGCCCCGAGCACCAGATGCAGAGGCTGCAGGTGACCCGGAAGCTGCTGGAGACGGAGGAGCAGGCCGCCTTCCCCCTGGGAAGTGCCTCCCCTCGCTACCTGTACCTGGCCAGCAACCAAAGCAACAAGTGGGGTCACCCGCGGGGCTACCGCATCCAGGTCCACAGTTCTGCTGGAGAGCCGCTGCCCCAGAACAGCTCCATGGAGAGAGCCTTCAGCTGGGGCAGGTGAGTGGGGGCGTGTTAGGGAGAGGCTTGTGGGGAGATGAGAGTGAGAAGGGAGGGTTAGAGGGGCAAATGGAAACTCAGTTCAAACTGTATGCAAAGTGAGATAAGAGCTCCAGAAGGATTTCCTGGTTATTAAAAGGCACACGCAATGGGCACTGGGCAGGTCCTCCCTTGGAGGACCGAAGCTCAGGACTGAGAATCTTTTTCTCCTTTGGATGGGGGAAGGGTCATGCTGTGATATGGCAGGGGGTGAACAAGAGGCACTGGAAAGGTGGTGGATGACTCACCAGGGTGGCATCGGAGTCACTGAGTGAATGAGATGAGAAAACTGAGGTCCTCGTGCTCTGTCCCCTTCCATCATAATCAGGCAGCAGGATAAGGTTAGTGACCGCAGAGGCCTGACCAGTGCCTCCCTAGGTACCAGCTGGCCGTGACCCAGCGGAAGGAGGAGGAGCCCAGCAGCACCAGCATCTTCAATCAGAATGACCCTTGGGCCCCCACTGTGGACTTCACTGACTTCATCAACAACGAGACCATTGTTGGAGAGGTCAGCTGACTGGGAGGGCCCGTGAATGGGGTGGGGGCATGAAGATCAGCCCCACCTTATCTTGAGGACCCCTGAAAACCACGTGGTCTCCTCAGGGGCAGAGCTGACTCCTGCCCTCTGCACTTTCGTGGATCTGACCATTACCTCCTGAGGGAGTCTTTCCAAGCTGGGAGTTGATTTGCAGATGCTGGCTGAGGCCCCAGCGGAGCCTCAAGACCCTAGAGCCCGCTAAGTCTCAGCTTTGTGGACTGAGTCCTTCTCAGGCCCCAGGGTCAAGGAGGGCTGGAGGTCACCAGGGAGGACCACCTCTCTTGTATCTAAAGCCCATTCCTCGTGTGACCACTAAAGGATCAATTCTGAATGTTGGCCGTTTCTGCCTCCCAACCTGATCTTCTCTCCTCCATCCTCCTCCCATCAGCTCTAGCCTGGGAATTCTGGGAATTAAGGGGGAGGAGCTGGCGTAGCTTGTGGCGTCATCATTCGTGTGGCTGTGGAGAGGCTGATGGAGATGTGATAGGAAAGGTCAGAGACGTAGAACACAGGCTAGGTCAGAGAGGCAGGTGTTGCTCCCAATGTGAATATGGAATTCACTATGCCTTGGCTTCTGGACCAGTAGGAAAAACTTTAAAGACTTAGGACACTTTTGAGGAAAGGGGGACTAACATGGCGAGTCCTTACATACGAGGCTACTGTCAGAGCCACGCATGTCCTTAGCAGAGCCCGGCCTCACGATCCTCTTCCTTCTGCCCTGCTAGGACTTGGTGGCCTGGGTGACAGCTGGTTTCCTGCACATCCCACATGCAGAGGATGTCCCCAACACGGTGACTGCGGGGAACAGTGTGGGCTTCTTCCTCAGACCCTACAACTTCTTTGACCAGGACCCCTCCTTCGATTCTGCTGACTCCATCTACTTCCGGGCGGGCCAGGATGCTGGGGACTGTGAGGTCAACCCCCTGGCTGGCCTCCCCAAGGCTGCCGACTGTGCCCCCGACCTCCCTGCCTTCTCTCATGGGGGCTTCTCTCACAACTAGGTGGTCCCTGGGATGGGGACTGTGTCCAGGGCCCAGGACCAGGGCGTGTGGGAGCCGTGGGCAGTGGGTTGGGCAGACTGGTGCCCTCTTCTCCTTCCTTAACCGCTGAGGTTCCTTCCTCCCATCCCCGAAGGTCACTTCCTGTCATCGCCCTCCCTTTCTTCCCCTCTCTACTGGAAGCATCCTGAGCCTGTGATGCTGGCTGTGGGGGAAAGCAGGAGAGACCCAGCTTTGCTGCCACTGGACCTGCTGGGTGTCTGTCCCAGAGAGGAAAGGGATGGCCAGCCAGGAGCTTGGAGTGATAGCCAAACTTTTCCCCAGAAGACTCCCTTTCTTTCTGGCTTTCTCAAGTGTTTTCAGGCAGTCTCCAGGTCCCTCCTGGCCTCCCCAGTCCTTGCCTTGGGAGATGGAGACGGGTCTCCACAATGGGGATCGTGTGCAATGTGCGGATGAGCCGCAAGGGGCTCCTTGACCCATACTCCCTCTTATCCAAGTCCTCCTCCCTCTTTCCCTCTTCCTCTTGGCTACCGCATCTTCCTCCTGTTCCTACTCTTTCTTATATCCTGGGATTTTCCTTCCCGGCATGCAATGAGCCAGGGCTTAATCCCTGGGGAGTCTGGATTGGGGGTGGATATACAAATAGCAAGAGTTTGCAAAGGACAGGAACGTCTCCTTCCCTAGAGGATTGGCTAACTACATTTTGTTACAGCTTTACAATGTAATATTATGCCCTATAAATATGTTTATATTTTTCTTGTATAATAATAGGAAATAATCTTCCAATGAAAAGGCAAGGTGCAGAAGTGTGTATGATGCACTTCCCGTTTGTGGTTCAGGAGGGAGAAAAATATAAATATAGATTTGTTTGAAAAAGCCTATTCAGAAGAAATAGGTAACACTGGTTGCCTCTGGAGAGGGACCTGGGAGGTCGGGGACCGGGGAGGGAGGGGACTCAGCACTGCATGCCCTTTTGTACATTCTTAATTTTGAACCATGTGACTGTATTACCTCTTCAAATTAAATAATAAACGGGCCTAACCAGGACCTGACTTTTTTTTTTTTCCCACTGACAAAAACCTTCTCTGGATCCTCCAGTTTCTCCTAGTTTCCCTCAGGACCCAGCTCCTCAGATCGTGGTGGCCTCCTGCACATCACTGAGCAGAAAACAGAGGTGGCTTTGCTCTCTGCGTCTGCAACATTTTGGAGGAAGGTTTTCTGGAGTTGAGGGTTGTAGGCTGCTAGGTTAATTCCATAGCCAGTTTTCCAGGCCCCCTGATCCCTAACCTGTCCGATCAGTCCTGCTCAAGTTGCATGTGGGGGGGTCTCTGTTATACTCTGCAGCCCCTGGACCCCCCCACCCCCCAGCTTCCGACTCTCCCACACCCTGCACGCTCCAGTGACGCAGGGTGCTTACAGCGCTGACCTGTCTCACTCAGCCTTTCCGCCTTCAGCGCCTCCCAGGTGTTTGGTGTTCACAGCGTTACTCCCAAGCATCCCTGGGGCTGCCAGTAGGTTCTGGCTGGCAGGGTGAGTAGGAGAGAGTGACTAGGAACAGAGTCTGGAAGGCACCCTGAACCAAAGGAAGGAATGATGGAACCTGAGCAGATAGGTGTGGCCAGGCGTGTTTCACTTACAGCTGCGCAGCGGGCAGGAAGATGAAGGAAGAGTCCAAGAACAGTCCCTTTCTGCCCCTCTCACTTCCTCTTTCCATCTGTGTTATCTCCAAAACAAAGCCCTCCCTGACTTTGTTCCCCAACCCTGACCCTGAGTGTTTGATTTGGAACAGAAGGACAGAGGCTTATGTGGGCCACTGAAAGTCCAAGTTCCTACCTCTGCCCCACCTCCCCAGCCTGGCCCAAGCCCTGGACCCTTCCAGTGTCAGCTCCGTGCCTACTCAACCCTCTGCGCTTGGCCGATGGTCTCCAGTGTATGCATCCTGCCTCTTTCCCAGCAGCAGCTAGAGACCAGGGACCTGAAAGAGGCATCGTGTACCCAGGTCCTGTTTATTGACTTAGCTTTCTATTTACCATTCTGCCTTCTGATTCGAGAGCCTGAAGACACCCCGGGAGCTTAGCTATGGCTGTCTTCATTATTTTGTCTCTTTGTAGTGTTTTGGTGATAGGCATGGCTGAAGGTGGAGCTGGGGGTGAGGAAGGATTCGAGAAGGAACGTGAACGTGATTGCTTCCCCACTGCCCCTCCACACCTCCCAGTGCGCAGCCCTGGACACACGCTGGCCAGAGCCAGCTGTTTGCAGACCTGAGCCCAGAGGAGCTGACGGCCGCGATGAGCTTTCTGACCCAGCAGCTGGGGCCAGGCCTGGTGGATGCGGCCCAGGCCCGCCCCTCGGACAATTGCATCTTCTCGGTGGAGCTGCAGCTGCCCCGCAAGGCCGCAGCCCTGGCCCACCTGGACGGGGGGAGCCCCCCACCTGCCCGGGAGGCGCTGGCCATCGTCTTCTTCGGCGGACAGCCCCAGCCCAACGTGAGTGAGCTGGTGGTGGGACCGCTGCCCCGGCCCTCCTACCTTCGGGATGTGACCGTGGAGCGGCACGGGGGGCCCCTGCCCTATCACCGGCGCCCCGTGCTCTTCCGGGAGTACCTGGACATAGACCAGATGATCTTCGACAGAGAGCTGCCCCAGGCTGCCGGTCTCCTCCACCACTGCTGCTTCTACAAACGCCAAGGAGGGAACCTAGTGGCAGTGAACACGGCCCCCCGGGGTCTGCGGTCAGGGGACCGAGCTACCTGGTTTGGCCTCTACTACAACACCTCAGGCGCTGGGGTTTTCCTGCACCCCGTGGGGCTGGAGCTGCTGGTAGACCACAAGGCCCTGGACCCTGCCCGCTGGACCATCCAGAAGGTGTTCTTTCAAGGCCGCTACTATAAGAGCCTGGCTCAGCTGGAGGAGCAGTTTGAGGCTGACCTGGTGAATGTGGTGCTGATCCCAGACAACGGCACAGGTGGGTCCTGGTCCCTGGAGTCCCAGGCGCCCCCAGGTCCGGCTCCCCCTCTGCAGTTCCACCCCCAGGGCCCCCGCTTCAGTGTCCAGGGGAGTCGAGTGGCCTCCTCATTGTGGACTTTCTCTTTTGGCCTTGGAGCTTTCAGTGGCCCGAAGATCTTTGCCATCTGCTTCCAAGGAGAGAGAGTGGCCTATGAAGTCAGCGTCCGGGAGGCCTTAACCATCTATGGCAGCAATTCTCTTTCTGCTCTGCAAAGCCAGTACGCTGATGGTAGCTTTGGCGTGGACCACTTCTCTTCACCCCTGACCCGAGGGGTAGACTGCCCCTACCTGGCCACCTACGTGGACTGGCACTTCCTTTTGGAGTCCCAAGTCCCCAAGACATTACAGATGCCTTTTGTGTGTTTGAACAGAACCAGGGTCTCCCCCTGAGGCAATACCACTCGGATGGACACTCCCATTATTTTGGGGGCCTTAAGAGACAGTGCTGGTCATCAGATCTGTGTCCACCTTGCTCAGTCATGACTATTTGTGGGATACGATCTTCTACCCCAGTGGAGCCATAGAAGTCAAATTCCATGCCACGGGCTACATCAGCTCAGCATTCCTCTTTGGTGCTGCCCGAAGTTACGGGACCTGGTTTGAGGAGCACACACTGGGCACCGTCCGCACCCACAGCGCCCACTTCAAGGTGGATCTGGATGTAGGAGGTAAGACATCCTGGAGGGGAAAGTATTCTGGGAGAGGGGGCTGAGGTTTCCATGCCTAGCTTTAAAAATTGTAATTGAAATATTAAAAATGTAAAAATATATGGACTACATGTGTAAATCATTCAATTCCTAAGAGACCTTCCCCGAGCTGATTAATTGTTCTTCCCCACTTAAAAAATTTCTTCCATATTTTAAAATACTGCATCTGCATCCTGGCTAGTGTGGCTCAGTTGGTAGGAGAGTCACTCTATAACTGAAGGGTTGCAGGGTCTATCCCAGCTCCAGGCACACACAGGAGGCATCCAATCGCATTCATCCAATTCTCTCTCACATTGATGTTTCTCTTTCTCCTTTCCTCTCTCTCTTCCTCTCCTCCTTCCTCTTTCTAAAAAGACAATGAAAAAATGTCCTCAGGTGAGGATAACATATAAAAAAATAAATATTGCATGTACAATTATAGAATCTATTATATTGTATATTATGTAGAAATATAATATATGATACACTTTTATTTTTTCACATGACATATTATTCATGCAAACAACAAATATCTACTGAATGCATATTTATGCCAAGCACGGCACTCAACCAATTTAGCAAAAGAAACAACATCTTTGACTTCTAGTCAAGATGGCAACATAAGCAGGCATGGCTTGCCTTTTCGCACAACCACATCAAAATTACTACTAAAATATAGAACAACCAACACTCAGAACCATCAGAAATGGAGCTGAATAGAAGTTGGACAACTACGGTATTAAAAAAACCACATCCATCTACACTGGTAGGAGGGGTACAGACACAGAACGGGCAGGTCCCACAGCCGTGTATGGTGGATAAAAATCAGGAGGGATAACCTGGGAGCAAGGAGTCCCAGCCCCACACCAGGTCCCCCGGCCCAGGATTCCACTGCCAGGAAGATATGTCCCCAAAACTTCTGGCTGCAAGAACCAGCAGGGATTGAGTTGATGGAAGAAATTTCTGAAGCCCCAAGCAGTTCCTCTTAAAGAACCCACACACAGATTTACGTACTTCCACTCACTCCCTCTGAGCTCCCACACTGGGGTAGCAGCTTGAAAGGCACCCGTGGTAAACAGGGAAAAACTGAAGTGTCTGGCATCAGGGTCAGCAAAGGCCATTGTCCCTTTGCTAAACCCTCCCCCAACAAAGCTGGTAAGCTGATACCATATCTGAGACTCCATCAACCTGGCTAACACTGTATGACCTGCCTTGGAGATACTCAGAGACTCTGCCCCACCCAGCTTAGGGCATCCAAGCTGCTTTTCCATATGAAAGACTGATCTTGACTCACACTTCAGAACTTCCTAAATCCTATTAACCAAGCAGCAGCTGGCCTCAGTGAGCCCCAGGCCC